ATAGGTTTATGTGAAAAAAGGCATATGTTTATGAGAAAAGAGTTGTATGTTTTTTGCAATAAGAAGTCATACGATTGAGAATATTTTCATTAAACAAAATCATAAAGTTATTAGAACTACGAAAATTATGAGAAAAAAGTCATAGACCTGATAATACAATTTTCAAATTTATGTGAAAAATGTAGTAATGTTAATAGAAGTTGTAACTTTAAAACTTTAACTTTAGCTAATAATCTCATTATAGACTTTTAGACTTCTTATGGCAAAAAATGTACAACTCTTCTCAAAAAAGTACTTTTTTCTAATAACAATGTAACTTTTATTTTATAAACTTTATTTCATATTTTTATAACATAATATGAGAAATATTATGATTTTTTTCTTCATAAATGTAGTTTTGTGATTACATAAGGTTGTTCTCATAGAGTTATGATCTCTTTTAAATAAAACATTTCATCATAATTTAATTACTTTTTTCATATAAACTTAAAATTATATAAAGATAAACATGCTATTTTTTTCTCATTTGATTAAGACTTGTTATTCCAAAAAAACCTGACAATTCTTGTCAAACAAATTTTTATGAGAAACATGCAGAGAACATAAAATTTTTTTCACATTTTTCAAAATGCTGTTTTTATAAGAAACATACAGAAAAGATAACATTTTCCAAAACGTTTCTAAAGCTGTTTAAAAATTTTTTTTTCTAATTATATTTCAAAAAATCTTTTTTCCTAAAATTCTTTCATAAATATTTTTTTACAAATATTTTACAAATGCTATATTTTGATGAGAAACATGCATTGTTTGAAAACATTTTTTAAAACATTTTCAAAAAAGACTTTTGACCAAAATTCTTTTCAAAACAACAAAACAATTTTTTTCACAAAGTATTTTTTCAAAACGCTATATTTGCATGAGAAGCATACAGAATACATAAAATTTTAAAACCAATTTTTTTTAAACATTTAAGAACAATTTTTGTTTTTTTTCAAAACGCTGTATTTTTAGACATACAGTAAATATAACTTTTTCAAACAAAAGTTTCTAAAAAAAGTTCAAAAAATGTATTCTAAATATTTTTCAAAAAATATTTTTCAAAAAAAAATTCTAAAAATTAGAAAATATTTTTTTCCAAATGCTATATTTTGATGAGAAACATGCAGAAAACATAAAATTCTGAAAAAAATGTTACTAAAAATTTTTCAAAGATTTTTTAAAACTATATTTGGATATATTATATATTATATTTGAAAAACATACAGAAAACATAACATTTTGAAAACAATTTTTTTAAACATTTAAAAAATATTCTAAATGCTGTATTTTGATAAGAAACATACAGTAAAGATAACATTTTCAAAAAAAAATGTTTCTAAAAAAAATTCAAAATTTTTTTTATTCTAAATATTTTTCAAAAAATATTAATATCACTAATTTTATGAGAAACATGCAGGCAAAGATACAATTTTGATAAATAATTTTACAAAACTTTTTTGTCAAAGTTTCTTAGTTTTTGACCAAAAATGACTACAAAAACTGACATTTTGACAAAAAATTTAAAACAGAAAAATTTGTAAAAATGTTCTCTACGTGCACTCATTTTATGAAAAACATACAGGCAAAGATACAATTTTGAAAGATTTACGAAGCTTTTTTGTCAAAGTTTCTTAGTTTTTGACCAAAAATGACTACAAAAACTGACATTTTGACAAAAAATTTAAAACAGAAAAATTTGTAAAAATGTTCTCTACGTGCACTCATTTTATAAAAAAACATGCAAGCGAGGATACAATTTTGAAAAATAATTTTACAAAACTTCTCTGTCAAAGTTTTTAGTTTTTGACCAAAAATGACATAAAAACATGACAATTTGACAAAAACCTTTAAACCGAAAAATTTAAAAAAATGTTCTCTACAGGCACTTTTTTTTAATGAAAAACATGCAAGCAAAGATACAATTTTGAAAAATAATTTTACAAAACGTTTTTGTCAAAGCTTCTTAGTTTTTGACCAAAAACGACTACAAAAACTGATATTTTGACAAAAAATTTAAAACAGAATAATTTGTAAAATTGTTCTCTACGGGCACTCATTTTATAAAAATCATGCAGGCAAAGATACAATTTTGAAAAAATGTACAAACTTTTTTGTCAAAGTTTCTTAGTTTTTGACCAAAAACGACTACAAAACCTGATATTTTGACAAAAAATTTAAAACAGAATAATTTGTAAAATTGTTCTCTACGGGCACTCATTTTATAAAAAACATGCAGGCAAAGATACAATTTTGAAAAATAATTTTACAAAACGTTTTTGTCAACATTTTTTAGTTTTTACCAAAAATGACATAAAAACCTGACATTTTGACAAATAGTTTTAAACAGAAAAATTTAAAAAAATGTTTTCTATGGGCACTTTTTTTATGAAAAACATGCAAGCAAAGATACAATTTTGAAAAATAATTTTACAAAACGTTTTTGTCAAAGTTTCTTAGTTTTTGACCAAAAATGACATGAAAACCTAACATTTTGACAAAAACTTTTAAACAGAAAAATTTCTAAAAATGTTTTCTATGGGCACTAATTTTATGAAAAACATGCAGGCAAAGATACAATTTTGATAAATAATTTTACAAAACTTTTTTGTCAAAGTTTCTTAGTTTTTGACCAAAAACGACAACAAAACCTAATATTTTGACAAAAAAGTTAAAACAGAATAATTTTGAAAAATGTTTTCTACGTGCTCTAATTTTATAAAAAACATGCAAGCAAAGATACACTTTTGAAAAATAATTTTTCAAAGATTTTTGTCAATATTTGTTAGTTTTTGTCAAAAATGACATGAAAAACTGACATTTTGACAAACAGTTATAAATAGAAAAATTTCTAAAAATGTTCTCCACGTGCACTAATTTTATGAGAATCATGCAGGAAAAAAAGATATTTTTAAAAATAATTTATGGTTGAGTTGGGGTTGCAGTTATGGTTATGGTTAGTCTTGGAGTTAGGGTTTGGGTTGCAGTTAACAAAAGCATTTTATAAAAATAAATTTACAAAATTGTACTGTAAATGCCTTAAAATGCAAGATTATGT